ACACACACACACACACACACACACACACACACACACACACACACACATATATATAATGCTTAATTATAAAGAAACTCTTATGATAATGTAAACTCCTCTGTTTATTCAGCAATTAAAATAGATGAAGTGAATATAGCAAAATGTTAACAACTATTAACGCTCATTGACAGCATAAGGGATTCTATTTTTTATTTATTTGAAACATTTCCTAATAAAATAAAATAGACTAGAGTATGAATCAAATCTGCTTCTTTGCTTGTTTTTGTTTATGATTGGAATGTTGCCAGGGTCTGTGAGTAATTTCATTGAGCACAGGCAAAACTGAATTTTGATAAAGAGCAGACGATCTGAAAAGCTAAAAAAATAACAATTTATTTAATCTTTATAGACAGTAATGACTGATGTTTGCTTAGAATGTTTTTTTTTTCCATTAAGGGCTTTGAAGACAATCTATGAACAGGTAAATAATTTACTTCAGTATTTTCAGAAACCTTTGTCTTTACTATGTTTTTAAAAATTCAATTCCACCAACATTTCTTAGGACTATCATAAGTTGCAGTGGTTGTAAGGGAAATATATATATATATATATATATATTATATGTATAATGTATATGTATATATTATATTATATGTATAATATGTATATATATTCCTCTTCTAACTAGTTGCTCCATCCCTCACCCAATTTAGCTCTTCCTGTTTTTATTTTTATATTTTCTCCTTCATGCCACATGTGTTCTATCCTCCTGCCATAAAATTCAACACCACTGCAATCTATATCTATCTATATTTATATATATCATAAAAGTTTCCATTTATTCACTATTGATTTGAGTATTAACTAGTGTAACCCCTGTGGAAATCAGTGTAGAGGTTTTTCAAAAGCCTAGAAATAGATTGTCTATATGACCCACCTATTCCATTCCTGTGCATATTCACAAAGGACTCTGTATCATATTACAGAAATACTTGCTCATTCATGCTTATTGCTGCTATAGTCACAACAGTCAGGAAATGAACAGAGGCTGATGAACAAATAATGAAACTGTCCATATACACAATGGACTATTACTCAGCTGAACAAAAAGTGAAATTGTGAATTTTTCTTTATTAATTACACTTTTTTCACTTTGTAAAATTGTGAATTTTTTAGGTAAATAGATGGAGCTGGAAATAACTATTCAGAGTAAAGTAACCCAGACCCTGAAAGACAAAAACCTATGTTCTCTCATACAT